TGTGTGTGTGTGTGTGTGTGTGTGTGTGTGTGTGTGTGTGTGTGTGTGTCCAGCGCGGTGGGCGCTTACTGGCCGCGCTCGAGACCTTGGCGAACTCGGTGAACTTGGCCCAACTGGAGTGGCCAGCCCAGTTCAGGGTCCCATGACGCCCACGTTTTTCGCGCCAAGTATCCGCCCCGTACAGGAGGAGCTGCACCACAGGCGGACTCGTTTGGGTTCTCCACCCACCTCGCTTGTATCGGCAACCCCGCAGGACCCTGCTCCGCCCAGACTAGAAACACGCAAAGTGACCTTACCTGGAGCGGTGCCCGAGAGTGCGAGTCCGGTCAGAGTGAGATCGCCTAGCAGCAGATTCGGGTCAGCTCAGCGCCTGCCCTCAGTCGGAAGGTCAGCCAGGATAGCCTTGGGCTAGAAGATCCTAAGGGTCTTTTAAGTGACCTCAGCCTGTTTACCACCTGGTAAATTAAGAGGCGGGTCACCATTTATTACACCCTTGCTGATGCAGAGTGCTTTAAATTCATGACCTCTTATCCGCCCAACCCTACAAGGTAGGCAGGTCATGTCCACTTTATTGGTGAAGGAATGGGGATTCGGAGAGATTGATTTAAGAGACTTGCCCAAGGCCACAAAGCTAGTTAAGTGGCTGAGTTCTAGCTGCAAACCCAGGGCTCTGTCCTCTGGGTTGCAGGGACTCTGGGGTTCAGAGCTATAGGACCCCTCTGACAGCATGGTGAAGGCTATGGACACCGCCCCCTCCAATGTGCACATGTAAGTTTTTATACCATTTTGGGGGGCTGGGGTCACTGACCCCTTGCCTTGTAGTACAGCAGGCCACCTTTCAGTTCCTACACTGGGGACTGCTTTGAAAATTAAATGTTTGGGAAGCAGTGCTGTATAGATATTCCATTAATATATGTACCTGTTGGTATGGCAAGGATGTTTTCAGGGATACCCCAGTCACCTCTGCTGCTCAAGGATGCAAACCCCGTTGAATGAATTCCTTCGGCTAAAGACTGAGATGGTTAACTCAAACGCCTACAGAGGCTGCGTGGACACCAAGAAGCAAAGGTGGGGGGCGAGGGGCGTGAGGCAAGAGGCAGTCACTGCAGCTAAGGGGCAGCCAGTTAGCTCCAGCTGATTGTGGCCC